CCAACTGTTTTAATTCTTAACCTGTTAAAATGACAAAAAGAGCAGTAAAGGATGCAAGCTAGTGGTGTCTTCAAATGTAATTAAGTAAGAAATTAACACTTTTGTATTTATGTAATACTTCCAAACAAGCAGTGGTTCATTGTTAACTGCAACTTTTTTACATCCTCTCTTACCAGCGCATCAGTTCCAATCTGTTATCATCTGATCCCTCTGTTGGCAAATGGAGAAGTGTTTGGGATGACCACAGAAATCAGCATCCATTTGCTTGACACTGACCAGTTTAAGGAAATTCTTTGCGGTATTGTAATGGAAGCTGAAGACATGGCATTCCCACTTCTCCGCAGTATTTCAGAGCACACAAAAATAGACCAGGCTTTTATTGATGCTGATATTATCATTGTTCTTGATGATGTGCCCTTAAACCTTGAAGTCAAATCCCGTGAGAACCACATCAGAGAAGTGAGTGAGATCTGCCAAGTGTATGCTCCCTTGATTGAGAAGAATGCCAAGAGTGAGGTCAAAGTAATTTCATCAGGAAAAACCTTTGCAAACCTTAAGGCAACAATGTTAAGGACATATGGCCCGTCCATTAGGCCTGAAAATATCATTGCCATTGCGACATCCTGGGAAAGTGCAGCTAAAGCCATGCTGGCCAGGAAGCTGAATGTGAACACAGCAGGTGAATGTTTATGTAGCATTTGGGGAATTCAGCAGACCTTTGGGAGTACATATTTCATTCCAGAACACAGTTGATGTGCATGCAGAAATGCACAGCAGTGCACTCACTGAATTTCTTGGCTTTACAGAATGCCAGAGTGTGTTTTGCTTGCTCTGAGATGCAGCCCTGCCACTCCAGTGTATATTTCATGCTGGAAATATGCTAGGGACGACAATTGTTTTGCAGATTGGGAACTAGGACTTCAAGACTGCATTTGCACTCTGTAGTGCATTGTTATTTTGGAGCTGTGAATAAACATGGCAACATACTGCTGTGCAGATAATGACAGTAAAGTAGAACTGTGTTGTAATATTATTTTGAGGTTAATTAACTTTCATTTTCAGGTCAATTGTTACACCTTTGTTATATTTGCACAGTTTTGCACTGCATAGCAAAGGTGTGCTCTGACAGTCTGCTCAGCATCAGGATTCTGTAAGTGTTGCATAGCTAGAACTGGTCATTGATGACAAGTGTAGATATTTTGGAGCCTAATGAAATGGAAAAGCAAGTTAATAGGCTGAATAGCCGATCAACAAGTTTTTTGAGAAAATCCTTTTGCACCAAAGCAAAGTTTTTATTGTTTTAATTATTGCTGTTATTGTTTATATATTTGCTTTTACAGGATTTCATAAGGAAGGTTGCTGTATGTTTTCAATATGATTTGTTACTGTTTTAAGAGTTAAATTTTGACTATTATTTACAGTAACGTGATATAAATTAAAGCTCCTTTTTCAGCTTGTGATGAAGTTTAATGTTACGAGAACTTGGTTGCATTTATCAGATCAAATAATTTCTGCTAGGAAGGCAGGGCACAGATTTGAATAATTCATTTTGAAGAGGATTTCTGAAGCTCATTTTCTTAAAGTATTTGTCTCTTCACTTTCCTTTGTTACAGGAGTTAAAGATGTGATTGTTTGGGGCAATATTACTGGGTCTAACTACATTGATTTGTCACATGCAAAACTTTATGGCTATGACTGTGCTATTCGGGGACCTCCTAATTTTCCACGTCCTTTGTTGAATATGATTTATGATAGGTACAGTACAGATTTATTTCTTTCGAGTAAAGTTAAATAACTGCTTTTAATCCAAGTTTATCTGAATTGTGTAATTAAACATCAATAAAGGTTTTTGTTTTTAAGATTTGTCTTTACTGACTGGCACTGTACATAAAGGAAAACACATACTGAGGTATTCCATCTGCAAAAGAAGTTGGGTAGTTCCTAGTGCTGTGCCTAGTTCTGACACTCCTGCCAACTCTGTTTATAACTATATTTTTCCTACATTTTAAGTGGATTTCTCTTATATCATGAGCAGTTTATAGGAAGTAATGGAAGTCCAGGTCATGACTTAGATAGATGTCTAGTTTGCATAAAGGAACTTTGAAATAGTATTAAACAGATATTTGTGCCTGAATTACCTGGAATAGGCCTGAGCATACTAATGTTGTCAGTTTCCCAAAACAGATGATTTGTTAATATATGTGAAAAGGAAACCTAGCAGGTAGATAACTTCCTGTGGAAAGAACAGCAGCAGAGAAGGGGTGGGTGCAGTGAGAGGCAGCAGATGTGACATACACCCAGGCCTGGCTATCTGGATCTCCCACTCTGGTCTAGACTTAGCATTTACTGGAGAGCAGACATTTCTGTGTTCTGGGCTTGTACTGAGTCTCACACAGGCAGACTGATTCATGGCTGGGTTTTTACATAAGACAGTAATATATAAATTACGTATGAAATATTAAATTACATATAAAATAAGAGAGGTTATGACTTGAGTAAATGACCTAAGTTTCATAGGAAAGTAGGACTGGTTATTTTTAAGCTAAGTTTTATTAGACCTTTTTTTTTTTCTCTCTGTAAAAATGCCTTGCTTTCAGCAGTGAAGTCTGAGTAAGTTTTGACTATTTTCTTTCCTCAGGTTTAGTTCTTTTTTTCTCTAGGAAACTACTCTTCTTGCAGTCATCTTAGTTTTTCGTCCCTTTTTTCTCCATTTTTTTGTTGGTAGTGAATGGATCCATTCAGAATTTCTGTCTGCACAGAGTACACTGGGTTCCCGGATGTCCCATTGTACAGGAATATTACCCGCTCATGCGGTAGCCACGGTACTGCAATACTGGTACCATGGCTCTCCTTCTGAGGAGATTGTTTCTGTGGGAGTATTTAGTGAAGGTAAAGCTATTTTTGCTTCACATGTTCTCTTGTAGCTTTGCCCTGCATATAGTAGCTTTCCCCTATCTATAATGTTACTTTTTAATCAATGTTTTTAATTTAATAAAAACTTGTAAAACAAATGATGTGAGGCCAGGAGTTTGTTTCATGATAAGAATTTCCAAATCTAATAGAGCTTATGATAATGCTCACTTTTTACAGGCGTCTCTTAGGTTAATACTGTGTTTTTGCAGATTATCTCGTAGTCTTTTAGTTTAAATGTTTTTCTGATTTATGTGTTTTGTGCAAGAGTTCTTTGTAGTTCTTAGAGCCTAGGCTATGAAAGTGTGTTTTTCTTGTGTAGTTATGTAAACCAATAAATGGAATATTTCACAGCAGGCATTTAACCCTTATGAAATAAATTACTTTTCCCCTTTTTTTAAGATGCACAGAAATTGTTTTATTACAACACAGGAAAGACACCTATTGCAGATGGTCCAGAGGAAGGCCACAAAAAAATGATCACAGGGATGAATGCCCCTCTTATGAAAACAGGCTGAGAGTTGAGGTTGTTCAGCCTACAGAAGAAAAGGCTCTTATAGCACCGTCCAGTGTTTAAAAGTTCTTACAAGAAAGAAGGGGGTAAACGTTTTGGCAGGATCTGTTGCAATAGGACAAGGGTTAATGGATTTAAAGTGAAGGAGGGTCAATTATGATTAGATATAATTAAGTTTTTCACAATGAATGTGATAAGACACTGGAACAGCCTGCCCAGGTTGAGAGAGGTGAGAGACACCTCAACCATGGAAACATTCAAAGTCAAGCTGGATGGGGCTCAGACACATTTGAAGATGTCTCTGCCCATGGCAGGAGAGTAGAACTAGATACCTTTAAAGGCCCCTTGCAGCCCAAACCCATCTGATGCTATGATTCATGCACATCTAACTAAAAGTACAAAGTTACAGTAAAAAGGACATTCTTTTTCAAGCTGTAGATTGAGAAAGGCAGTCTCCATTTACAATGAGATCTTAAAGTTGTAGATTTTTGCAAGTCTGTAGGAGTTAGTGTTGTCACTGGTGATGTAATCAGAAATAATGTGTTTTGTTATTTTTTCCCCCCTCTTCTTCAGGTCAATTTTGCATTCCTGAAGGAATTATCTTCTCTATGCCAGTGAGGTTCCAGAATGGAAACTGGGAAGTCATGACAGAATTAGAAATTAATGAAACGACCCAAAAAGTTCTGGGACACTTATCCCATGAGCTGGTTCAGGTAAGGGTTTCTTGAGTCTCGTGTATGCCCATTCTGCCACCTATGGGCACATTGTAATACAACTTGGAACACTGAAACCTTTAAGTGTTAGATGTACAAACAGCACACGTGCACTTAGGCACGGTAAAAACAGGGTATTTATAAGTGTAAGGTAGTATATGTGTATTGAAACAAACAGACAACTGTTCTTCTGCCCAAAAAAGAGATGATAAAATAAGTTTACTTATTTTAAGTTTACACTACTATGTAAGTGTAGAGTTTGCACTCCAAAGTTCTGCAGGCTTTTTGCAAAACAGAAATATTGCCCTTTGTTTAATGTTTCCACATTCTATGTTGATTTTGCTTATGTGGTATTCAGTGTATTTCTATGCTAGAAGACATATCTTTTGGCATTTTTATGGCTGTGACTCCTCATAAATGAATGCCAGACCTTACTAGAATTAGGGATTTTTCAGAAAATAAAACATCATTGAGCATTATTTTCATCATGAACTTCTTGTCACTTAGTGAGACAAAAATAATTCATTTGTACTATTGAAACTTTTAAAAAGACTGATCCTAAACTCTACAGCTTTAATCAGATTTTGTAATCTTCAGTCATACTAGTAATGTGTAAGAATTATTGTTTTAACATATTTTAAGTTTGTGCTAGAAATTAGAGCAGATTAAAAGAATGGGTGGTACTAAAAGTGCCTTTTCTTCCATTTAGGAAAAGCTCGTTGCACTAAAGGAGATAAGCGAAATGCATCCATATGAAGCAGAATAAAAACTCCACACCTTCTCCAAGTGTTTCTCGTGTTTCTCTGTTGCTTTTCCTATTTAATTTGCTTTTAAAGTTCTCTGTCCTCATTCATCAAAATAAGAACAGATGGACACTAAAGTTTGTTTTAGTTTTGTTTTTTCACTTTTTCTCTATTTTCAGGTTGTGAAATTCCTGCACTTTTCCAATGTTCTCACCATTTCTTTCTCATTTTCATTCCTACAGACCTTTTCCCTAGTTTATTTTCTTTCTCCCTCCCTTCAGATTCTTTCCAGTACTTTTATATCAGCCCTTTCTGTACTATGAGCTGTTCGCCATTAAGGACAGGCTGAAGAATGGGGAAACTATTCAGAGTTAGATGCCCAGAGCCTCTACTGAAGCATAAAGCCTTTTGGTCATCCATGCTTGTTTCTTTAGAAAGGACTACAGACACAAAAAGATATCCTTGATGAACACAGAATTTAATTATTTGGCTAATCATGACCTTGTTTAACCCAGACAGGGAATTCCCAATTAGATAAGAGTGTCTGCTCTCTACTTGTGTGGTACTGCTGTTTTGTAGAGCTGTCCTGTTCCTCTTGTGCTTTAAATGCTAAGCAGAGGCCTTCCCACTGGTAGCAGCAATGTGCTCAGTTGTGGCCTTCTCTTGTGACATCAGTGTCAGGTGATCAAGTATTCCCAAAGTGTCCTGCTTTATGTCCTTGCATGCAGAAGTATTTTAGGAGGCTAGCAAAAATAGCTTGTGTTTTTCCTTTTTTGTACAGAAATGGAAACCTTGCCTACTGGGTCAGTTTATCTAGAGTAACTAGAGTCGTCTGGAAGAGAAAATTCTGAAAGTTCCCTTATTAAAATATTGTTTCCATTGCTCAAAAGAGCAAACTAAAAAGGAAGTCTAAACACTGCTGTAGCTTTTGCAGTATTTTCCTCATTAAAAACCCCAGGAAATCTCTAGGTGAAAAAATATTTCAAATCCAGTGTGAATGTAACATTTTTAACCTGTAGACCAAAGTAAAGTTCCTACTGATTTTAATGAGTCTAGGATTTCATTTGCATTCAACCACTTATTTCTTCAGACCAATAAATTATTGTTAAAATATAGTTTAATGCCTAAAATGTTCATATGAAAATCTTGAGCAGGACTGTCACATACAGAGTAGAAGTTCTATAATTCCAAAATTTTTTTTTCAGAGGTACTGAAACACAGTACTTTTTGTAATAAAGTATCTTCTTGGGCAAAATTGTTTTTAACATAGAAATATGTTTATACATCTCCAAAGTGATAAGTTCATCTTTATTTCCATGTTTTTCTTACTTATTTCATGAGTTTCAAGAGAATACTTGTGTGTTTTAAGTCAAAATAATTAAATTCTTGTTTAAAGAGAATTGTGGATCCACTTCTACTTGGATCTTTGGTGTCTTAAATGATGGAGACTGTGTTAATGAAACGTTTCTGTACTTGCTAATTTTTTATCATATATGTTTAAAACAAAATAGAAAGCTTCCTGTTCTTTGAATCAGTTACATACATTTGCAATGAATTAATTATTTCTGTTCAAATGGAGTTTCAAGCTCTGAATAGGGGAAGACCTCTTATATGAGGAAACCAAGAGAAGTTACTGGCTGAGTAGGACAGAACTAGGAGGGATGTCTCATTGGTCTTTGGAAGAGGAGCTCAGAAACCTGGGGTATCACAAGCGATCTGGGAGAATGTAGGGTTCTGTGTAAAGTGTATATGGGAGAAGCAACATTTAGAGGGACTGAGATGTTATTCTAAGTATCTTCATGAGAGTTCACATGGAAATTGTAGAGGTAGGTGTTGTAAAAAGTCTTGAAGACAAGGGTTAGGAACCATTCATTTAATGGATAAGTGATCTCCAGGGAATTAGTTTCCAGTAGTGTATGCACAGGAGATTGGCTGAGTTTCTGAGGAGCATCTGGAGGCAGATGTCGCAGGAGAAAATAGCAGGGAGGGATGCTACTAGTAGTCTCTACAAACTACCTGATTTTTCTATAATTCCTTCTCCAAGATAGAAAAGTTATCTTCTCTAATGTGTATTTACATTTGGGCTTTTTCTATATGAACAGACTTTAGCAATCTTACTCTTTGAATTTTTTTATTCTGCCTGTCGAGATAGTTCAAACAAACTGCAGTTCAAGCACCAACACTACACAGCTGTTAATGAGAGGGAAAATAACGCTTCCTGCAATATATAAGTAGGCTTATCTGACTTCTGAATCACCAGCTGAAAACCTCTCTTCTCAGAGGCTGGGAGCAGAAAGAAAAAGCTGCTTGGGATGTCTCGTGTATCCTAAATTATTCTAACTGGATTTGTCTAGTGGTCTGCATGGAAATTCAGGTCTTTCCTCATTGAAGCAAAAGTGAATGGAAAAGCTTTTTTCCTTAGCTTTTGTTTAGGAGAAAAAGAAAGAAAAAAAATAGGAAAGCTAAAATATGGTAACGTATTCAAAACTGGTTACAGTTGTAAAACAGCAATTGACTTAGTCATCAGTAAGTTTGGGTTTTCTATAAGTAATAAGCAATTTCTGGGACATATTTTTTCATGAGTCTCTAAGTCATGCTGTGTATGCAGGATATTCATGATATTGAGGACTCCTGCTATCTGGGTGTTATGGTAACTGTTGAAAAATTAATGAAAAAGGGCTTTAAGTTGTATGTGTCTCACAAATGTTACGTATAGATTACTCATAAACCTTAGCATTTGGGTGTACTGAAGAGCTTTGTGGTTGGTCTGAGCAATTCTTGCTCTTGGACATTACCACTAGGGCTTACTATTTTTCTTCTTTGTATAGCTGCCCCAACTCTTTGTTACAGCACATTGTGCTTTATGCATTACTGTGTCAGCTTCTACCTCATTTTCAATCTCTATAGCAACAGTTTCTCAGCAACCGGGAGATGCTTAGTAAAGGCCTCTCAATATAGAAATATTGCACTCCAACCATAAAAAAAGAGGCACTTTGAAACAAAGATCAAAGAAGTTTTATCTTTAATTATTCAGGATATTTATTACTAATTAATTAGTGTTCTCTGTTTTGACTGCTTAGACAATTACCTGATACTTTGATCTGGGCCTTTGCTAGGCATTTGTTGTGAGCAGCTTTAATTTAAAAGCAAAACCTTTAGAACTGTGTCTTGAAGTCAACTTTTAAGTGCTGTAAAACTACTGGACTTCTCTGGCGATGTCATCTGACTTCTGGACCTTTAGTAAGTAATGAGAGGAAGGTAAGCACAGCTACTGTATTTAAGGGGAGACAATAATTTTGGCCTTTGAACAAAACATAGAATGTTTTCACCCTTCACAGGAAACAAAAGTAATTGTAGGTTCTTTTGTGCATATTTAAGATGTTGATCATAAGTTGTCTGATTTCAAAAGAAGAAAAGTCTCTGATCAAGTCAATTGATCTGCTGGGAGGTTTCTGCCTTCATGTGGCTTGTCTTTCTCTGTACTTTAATTTAATTATGTAGCATGCTTCAAAATACATTTTATTTGCTAAAGTACATATTCTGAGAACCTTTGTAAGGCAAAGTACATATAAGTAATTTTCTTTCGCATTCCACTAAGAGTCAAGAAAAAGGCTCTCTTTGTTGTGCACATAAGAGTATTCATGTTAATGGGACCAGGATTGTTAACTGTAACAATTTATTTCCTGAACATTTGTACATAATTTTTGTTTTTTGTTTGTTTTCTAAAGTGATTTTCACTATTAAAGCACACAAGAAACTGAAATATAACAAATTAACTGAAATAGTGTGTCAATGGGCAAAGTTACTTCAGATTACATAGGCAGCAGACACTGCTTCTGCTTTCATATTCTATTCATGTGCTAATACTAAAGTAGATTCTCTTCATTTCACCCAGACACTCCTACAGCAGTAGAGATCTGGACTGTCTGCAGAGTTTTGTGTATGAAAATGTAGACAGTACATACATTAATAATGTCTTCCATAACTTTTTGGAGGGAGGATTCAAACATATGATGCTGTACAATGATGGCCAGTTTGGTAAAACACATAAACACATGGTTAACTTTGAGACCATTAATAACCTAGGACAAGACTATAGAGTGGTTTTCCATGTGGGTAATTTAAATGTTAGACCTTGTGCTGTACTGGATAGAGATCTGGTCATCTTACAGTAAGTATCAAGCACTCATAGATTATGCATGCTGTATAACTCAGTAAGTCAGTAGATCTGTTCTTATTTGAGTAAGCAAATTCTAATGACTTCTAATTTAAGTGAGTTTAATCTGGAAATTTTTATATTGATCCCATCCAGTTTCTTTATTTTATGTACCTCTGGTACAGAGAAAATAAAGAAGGCAAGCTGTGTGTGTCTAAGTCTACCTTCTAGATTACTACATGTAGCTTTCACCAACACCAATGTTTAATTCATTGCTCTGTGTCTTCTGATTTCATTGGTTTCTGTACATGAACTTTTCTGTCAAGCTATGGCAGAGGCTCTTACTATTGCAGCTATTTTAGGAACAGCTGTATCGTATTTTCATATATATTGCATATGAATATATATCTATAGGCAAACTTAGGTGCCTGTGTAAATGCTGGTCAGAGCTGTAGTTCTGCAGAAGCCTTAGTAAGAAAGAAAATAGAAGAGTGGAAAAGAAGCATAGTGGTATTTCTTTCAAAGAAGGACTACAATAAAAATTGTGGCATTATAGTCTTGAATGAAAAAGACTATTAAAGCAGATCTGTATCTCAGTATTTTAAGTATCTAAATTTAGGTTATGACTGAAATTTAGGGACAGAAACACAAAGTTGCAGCTTTCACCAATTAAAATGGTGAGAAGCATATTTATGGTAGACTCAATAATTTTATATCATTGAATACTTACACTTCATAATTGGCCAGTATTCTGTCATGTTTATGACAAATCATCCATGATTACATCAAATGTAAGAAGTGAGCATATGTTTAAGTTCAGATTTAACAACAATTTTTTTACTTAAGTTTTGGATAATTTCCAGGTATCTAATTTTTATTTATTTGAGCAAACTTTCACTTTGTTCTGCACAATAAGCCACATAGATGGCCTTTGGAATCTTGTGTGGCTTAGATCCATTATACCTAGTGCTTTGAAACTGCAGTGTTAGCTGAAAGGTAGTTGCTGCAGTAAATTAATGTTTATATTTCTGTGATTGGAAATGTGATGTACTTTAGAGCATTAGTGAAATAAATCCTGAGGGGAGACATTCAGTTTCCATTGTTACAGGGACATAACTACTTCTGCTTTCACAGTTGTTTAAATAAGTATATTCATGGTTAAGCTTCCTTTTCCCCTTCTGAATCAGCTCAGAAAGAAATAATGCCAGCTCAGCCTAAAACTTTAATTCTGCTTGAAAATTTTAGAAAATACTTTTGAGTAATTGCAATCAATGAATCTTGGAAAGAGTCTGGTGTAGATATGCCCTCTGTGACCTGAAATTGTACACTATGAACTGTGTAGTAACCCTGCATGTAAAATTTGGGCTCTTAATAGTGAAAGATGTCAGCTCCTGTACTTAAAACAGTTTTGAGGATTGGTTTTTCCCTGCTACAATTTTACTGTTACTTGAATTACTCCTATATTGTGCTAAGCAGAGAGCTTGCAATTTGCTGGAATTTTTCTGCACATGGCACCAAAATGATTTTGTTTAATGTAAATCTGTTTAATTTAATTTCTGAAGTGCATACAGTGAATTGTTCAGATTAAAAGGTTTAATTTGAATGGTTCGATATGTCTCTGCCTAGAATATGTGGTTTTACACTTTGGTTTGTTTTGTTATAGAATGCCTAATGCCATCTGTTAATTTCAAATGGATCCAGACTTGAGGGGTAAGAATTTTTCTTATTTTTTCCCAACTTTTCTCAAAAGGAATTTCTGTGTCTTTTTGAACAGAAACTACTGAATTTTAATGAAATCATGCCACCTTGAGAATCTCTGTGCTGTAGCACTTAAATGACAGATTACACAGCTGTAATGTCCTACTTTTATTGTTTGATCTGTCCTGACACCTTCCTTGCCATTATCACACCGGTTTATGGAATGGTCAGGCACACAGGCCCATGATCCCTAATTTATACTAAATGCTAAGTTTTTTTCCGTGCTTTGGAATAGGCATGAAGGATGGCCATACACTCCCTTTTTCAATGCAAAGTCTCAGCAGGTACCTCATCTGCCACAGAGCAATTAGTTCAAAATTCAGAATTGCAGGTAACCAGCTGAAGATGTCAGGAATCACCAGACTTCTGTGTGTTTAGGAACTCCTTTGTCTGCTACTCAGCAAAGGGCATTTATACTTCTTGAGGTGAAATTTGACCCACAGCAGAATGATTACATACTGGTTTTCTGTCCAGAGGGAAAGCTCCCTTCCTGTGAGAAATGAAGGATTATAACGTCCCTAAATAGCCTCTCATCAATAATAATTTTAAAATGCTTTACTATTTTACTCATGTGTCCTCACAAGTTAATTCTGGAACTGTGCTTGACAGGCACAGAATGCCCCACTTTGGGGCCACATTTTGTCTGTAAGGGTGGACTCGAATTAAGTAGCAGATGGTTAGTAAAACAGATTCCCTTCACTTCGAAAATCATCTTGTGGATGGAAGGTGTTTGAGTTGAATCATATGTATATTTCTAGCATTTGTATTTGAAAATAAGCATTTGGAACTTAAGCCGTAGCCTACTGAAAACTGTGGGAGTTGTTCTGTTGCTTTCAGAAGGGCTTTGGATCAGTTTATTGAGGAAAGGGAACTGATGATGCATGGAAGTCAAAACTCATTTTTCATGTATGACATGCTACACTACATCTCCAAATAATATCACAAAACATAGTATGACAAGAGCAGAACTAAACAGATGGTATAGCAGTTATTGGCATCTTTCTATAGCTTAGACAGCATCTGGGAACCAGCAGAGCCCATAATTTGCTGACTATTAATATTAATCTGGTGTACTTTTTGGAAACCATTGCACACAGATTGGTTCCTTTCCAGACTGAACAGGTGAAGTATTTTCATTTATACGTATTTATTGCTTATCTTTAACCTTAACCTACTGTGTGTAATTCTTCCTCTCTGAAGTACAGGGAGAAAGGGTCTCTGAGGACAGAAGGATAACAGATAAATCCCTTTCTAGTTTCTGAAGTTTAGTGAACAAGCCTTGTTTTTTTGTCTTGAAGTTCAAGTTACGTGTGCAAAGTATCAGGCATAGGTCATGGTCAGCATGTCTTATTTTCCACTCAGAAAAACAACCTTTAGTGATGTTAAAGAAATAAGCTGAAATCATATAAGGGTATGGATTTGGTTAAGGATATTGGGTAGGTTTTCTAAACAGAGATGTCAAAAGTAATTTACTATAGTAAATGTCTTTTCTTCTTCTGCAAGAATCCCACATCTTGATCTTGACAGAAGATTTGCTTAGTGCTTGAAACAATATGCATCCAAAACAATAACCCTGCTCTGCAACTGACAAACTTCCTTGCAGAAGAGCATCTCTGATCAAAAAACCTATTTGCCTGAAGAAATAGTATTTCATTATGATATTGGTTAAAAGTATGTGCAGTGCATAACCCTCACAGGCCTTGTTCTGATCTATGAATAAACTTGATTCTCAAAGAAGCAGATATGATCTCTATGTTAAAATCTGTTTACTCACTGTTTACAAGAAGACTCTTCACCCCACAAAGTTATTTGAAAAAATAAAGAAAATGCTTCATTTTTGTTTTCTTTTTTTTTTCCTCCAAATATTCCTTCAGAGTGCTGATCAACTTGAAACTCCAAATTTGGTTGTTTTGAGTTTTAGTTAGTTTTGAATGAATCACTCTATTGTAATGTGTGTTTGTTTTCTTTCACAGAGGCCTTCAATGGTGTTCAGAGCTCCGTATACAGAACAGCCCTAAAACTACGCTCAGTACAAAGTCTTTGCCAGTGTTAGTAGTCAAAGAGAATCTTATGTGTTTACAGAGAGGAGAATCTGTATAAAATTTGTGTTGTGGTCACCATGAGTTATTGTGCTACTTTGCTCTCTCCTTTTCCACCTTAGAGTTTTAGAACGGATTATGAACACTTAAGATCTAGGTAGTGCTTCATATACAAATTGATTTTTTTTCCTTTTGAATGTCAACGGAAATACGTTACTGAAATTCTAAAATTATGAGAGAATCAAATTATTTTTACAATCTGCAACCCTGCTATGTAGACATCAAGGACAATTATTAATCTTTATCTGTGTATTATTATGGTCATGAAAAGTCAAATTCTAATGTGTTTCTTAGGAACTGATTTATTAGAAATAACCATGGCTTATTGAAAATGCATTGACTGGACTATAAGAATTAATGAAAGCAAAATAGAATATGATAGACCAGAAAACTCCATTAGTATCCATTCTCCCTGTCTTTGAAGTGAGGGAGAATTCAGTGCAAGCAGAGTTGTGCAACAAAATCCCAGTCACCTAGCTCACTTTGAAATTACTGAATGTAAATTCCATATTGAGCTAAATTTCATGGAAATCCTGAATTTTCCATTTGAAACTGTGTGTTGCTGAAAATGCACAATATTGCAAGTGAGGTCTTCAGGGTATCACAGAGAGGCTGACTAGTTTGTTTGCCTTGGATATATTTCTTTCATTTGGGGATGCTCTCTTATGAATATTTTTAGTCTGGTCTCAGCCCTAATATGGTTTATCTGCTTGATGCTCTGTGTCAGTGTGGAAGTACCAATTCATACTGGTACTGGTTTTCTTTGTATATGGTGTACTGTTTTAGGCTTCATTTTATAGACTTGTTTTAGCAAGGCATTTCTGATAAAAAAATAGTCATGCTTCTATTCATGAAAAGGCATGAACCTTCATTTCTTCCTTAATTTTCCCACAGTGGATTTGATTGATGTTTCTCTGATTCAGCACATCCTATCAAGTGAACAAAGCCAGAAGGAAGAGAGGATTTCACTGAACATGCAGCAAATCTCTAGAATGCTGATGAAACTGTTCCAAAGGACAAGATTAGAAAAACCAGGCCAGGTAGATCCAAGAGCTGCTGAATTCACATTTAGCTTGCTGGTTGCCATGTATGACAGGTGAGAAGAAGAATAAATGTAGATCCATTGAAGTACCATAGACACAAAGAATGTTTTTTTGGATGGGACCTTAAAGATCATATTGCTCCAAGTAATCCCAAGTATTGCTAGATTAAGTCTGTTTCTACCACTCTCACACAATTTCTGTGTGAAACACTCCCATTTTGATCTGTTTTGCTTTGTATGAAAACTAGGGGTAGTTCAGCTGTAGAAATATGAGTCACAAAACTACATCAGAAAAAGAGTAGTCTGGAAATCCAGACTTTTGCCAGTTCATGCTGACTTTTTCTCTGAAAACCTTTACAGAGTAGTTCTTCTTCTGACTTCCAAGATAATTTGGTATACTCCTAAAAAAGAATCCATATTTGCATCTGGAGAACAGTACCCATGCACAGGTCAGGAATTTGCCAGTCACTTTTCGTTATTCATTTTTCTCAGCCTTAAAAAGTTAATCTACCAATTATGAAACAAAATTGATGTCTCATAACTAAGATGAGCAGATTAGTGAATAGCAAAGTTTCTGAAAATAATAAGGAAACAGCTCTCAGAGTGTATTTTTCTTATGTATTATTTGTGAATGAGTTAATTCACTAAAGGCAGGATTGGTTTGTGATTCTATCGGATTTAAAACACAAAGTTCATTGTACAAGTTATTTACCACAGGTGAAATTTTTCCCATCTACATCAGCAAAGTTTTTTACTGAAAGTAAATGAGATGTAGGTGTTCTGCAGGATTTTTCTTGAAGTATTATTCATTGCTCATATGATCACTACTGCTTAAGGTCCAGCTTTATCAATTCTTTTCATAAAATAATCAATTAAGGCTAAGAATAAACAGTATATTAAGAGACAAAGCTAGAAACATCAAGCGTATTTTGTAATTTGTGTGCACTGTAGGAAAATTATTTAAAAGAAGCTTCTTAACAGGTCTATCTTGGTCTTTTAGTCTGTTTTCCTAGGACTCTGTCATTTTCTTTTTGCTGCTATTTCTTTTTTTAAAAATAATTTCACAAATTTCTTGAAGTGTATATAAGATAGAAAAAGCTTCTTAAAATTTTCTAATCATGTTTTCTCTGTAGAGTGCTGTTCTCCACTATAAACACTGGAAAGTATTTCATAGGAGGAGCACGTAGGAATTTTCCATGTTTGTGTGGTAGTTTACTTAATAAGCTTGCATAAATATCTTAAGGGAATTTGATTGTGTACTTTAGCTTTAGTCTTGGAGTTTTTCCTTTGAAATTTCTGGAAAAACAACATTTTTCCATGCAGTTCATGCTTTAGAGACTATATTGCAGCTTTACACAATGTGGTTTTATCTAAGACTCTTGAAAACAGTTTTATGTAACAATATTTTTAAGCTTTACAAAAGTAATATCTTAAATATAGATTTGCAGGATTTCCTGATTTGTGGTTTCTGATTAATATCTGCATTAGCTTCACAAAAAAAAAATAGTGTTTTTCATTTGGTGCCTATGTCACAAAATTGGGTTCTAAATCTACATTATTTATTATACAATGGTCAAAACTAAATGTCCTGCTCCTCTATATATCCTTTTGATTAAACTGAGTTTCAGTGAAATTAAGTGTAATCAGCCCAAGAGAAGCTCAGTGCAGACTACTGGGGCCATAGTGGAGCTGCCTGATAAGATATGTGAAACTCAGATTGTATCCTTAATTCACTACTGTATTTGGGAAGGCTTTCCAAAAACAAACAAACAAAAAAGTAGAACATACACTGTAAATGTAAAATTACATTTTATTTGGAATGTGAAGTCTTTGAAGGAGATATCTTTTTATTTTATGATTGCATGGTATCTTGGAACAGTTAACTCTGAAGTTATGTTCAGTGATAAAGTGTTCTAGACATAAAATATCACTCAAATGTTTCTTTGGATACATTTATATATTTATATTTATGCATTAATATATATATAAAAAGGATACTTGTTTTGAAGTTTTCTTCCTACATAGTAGTATTCTATTCTTTAGAAGTTTCAGTCTTTTTATTCTCAGTGAATGTAGAGTAACTTATTTCATTTTCCTAGGTCTGGAACAGGGTATATCAAAACTAGATCTGCTGCTGCTGCCTTAATTTCGCTTTCAGGAGACACTCTACTGGCTAAATACAGAGGTGGGAAATGTATGATTTTATACACTGCCTGAAATACTGAACACTGAGGAAAATTTCCATTGTAATTTTTTATTTTAAAAGAAAATTCAGCTCTGCCATGAAAAAAGTATATCATGTTGACCGCTTAGTTATAGAGAAAGGCTGATGCAGAATAATGCTTTTCAATCAATATCTGTAGCCATCTTTGCAATAAAGAACCTCTAAAGAGGTCATAGTAAAGTTTAAGTAGGGCTTCTATTTGCCTAGCAGAAAAGAACAGAAACCCCATGGTTTTAATTAGCAATTCACAATTTAAATAGAGCACTTCTTGTATAAGCATATTTTAATATATTTCCTAATGTTGTAAGAATGAGTTTGTTGCTTTCTTCCTTGCTTTTATTTTCTTTCCCTCACTATAGGGAGAAGTATGGTCATGGCAGTCACTGATAGCCTGTTAGGTACATAATAAAGTGCAACTTTCCTGAGGGGTTGATTTGTTAGACTGCAATTACCATAGCAGTTTGGAGATAGCTTGAAAAGAGTCGTTGCTCTGCCAGGATTCCAGGGTTTTTTTTCCTTGTTTTCAGCTTTCTTCCAGTTTTATGCTGTCCCTGATGGGAAGGAGACCTTGATTACCCGCAGTGCCCTGAGAAGCCTGCTAACAGACTTAAATCAGGTATTGTTGCTGCAGTGCTGTTACATAGCAGATTTTGTAGGAGTGTACTAACCTAGGAGAAAAAAACCCCTCATGACTGATACTTTTTACATTTGATTATCTTATCAGGGACCAAAGTTAATAAGACACTGTGGACATAGGGAGCTATCATGCAAAGTAGGTAAAATAATCAAATTCTGTTCCTTTTCTCAAAATAACCACTTGCATTAGAGATTGCCTCTTTGCATTCATGTTGCCTGAGCTTACAGGTCCTGGAAACAGCTGGATACAACTGTTCCTAAAGCAACTCCAAAATTCAGGTATCTGTACTCAGTAGAATAGCTTGTAGTTGCAGCAAGTTTCCTTAACGTACAGGTATTTCCAGCTGAACTGGTGCTGAAAATGGGATCTGAAAATGACCTCTGAGATTTAAACTCAGTGTCCTTCGGTATTTCCATACTATGGAAACATAGTATGTTTATCCATTACAGTAAGTGAGTTGGAAACAAATCATTCTGACACACCCTGAACTGTAAAACTGTGTACTGATGGTATGAATGTGAATGGGTTTTCTTCAGAACAGTGTATGAAATGACATTGCTATAGATACTTCACCATCTGTGTGCTGTCACTATCACAGCAGAGCATGATGGGAACATCTGTTTTTTATTGAGGTGATTCTGAGCCTTTCTTCTTGATGTAGATCCCAGCCATTGTGGGAGAAGGCTGCACTCTGTCTTGTGTGGAAATTGCGATTCATGACTGTTTCCATGGGGTGAGTGAAATTCTGATGTCCTGGGAAATTATTCTGAATGTTGTTGATTGATTAAAACTTCAAGTGTATCACCACATAACATCCCCAAGTATCTACTTGTAAGACTCAGGGCTGATCATCAGTCTCACAGTATGGGAGGATTTGTATCTATAGAAAAAAATCTCAGTAAGATACTACTGAGGACTCTTGCATTTATTTCAAAACCTTTGGAACCCAGTAATATTTTACATGAATAGAAAATTTATGCCAGCAAAATCCAATATCAGAGCTTTTATTAGAGATTATAGATGAAACACCAGTTTTTTTCAATGTATGATCTTGAGACATGTATTTTTTCTAGGTTTTGAATGCTGCTATTGTTGAAGAAAAATTCCTGTCTTGGCTGAGATCAGAGCCTGCTGTTCTCCTGTGGCTCCCTACATGTTACAGATTATCAGCCACAGAAATGGTTTCTCATCAAGCTAAATGCAGAGTCTGCAATGTTTTCCCCATTACAGGCATCAGGTGTGTCAGTGGTCTTTGTCATCCGCATAATTAGTTCTTACCATTGTTTACATACCTTATAGGCTGTAACTGAAATACTAAGTAACAAACTTTGGACATAATCTAATTTAACCAGAAAAGAGGGATAGAGAGAACAAGTGCAGTCTAATACTGAACCCTTCATCCTACTTCTCTTTAGCTCACTAGCACAGACATGACTATGAAATCTTGCCAAAGGTAAATTGGCAGTCCAAAGGTAAAGCAAATTAAACCTGTGTATCTCATTTTTTAGTAATTTTTTTGTAACAAATTGTATTAACTAGCTGGTTAAGTTTTCCATCTTAGCGTCTTGTCATCTAAGTAATGGTATAAAATGGCATAGTGGTATAAAAAGGACACTATCCATTACCTTCTGACCAGAATGCTCAGAAAAGCATTTTACTTTTACTATATTCTCACTAATAGTAAGCTTGCAGGTTTAGTTTCTTGTATTTTTAGGTTTTTGTTTATGAATTCTATCCTATCAATATTACAGTTCCATGGGAGCAGCAAATAGAGGTGAGCTGGTGCATAAGAAGCATAAGAACTTGTAACTTCATTCTGAAAAATGGGAAATGGTGCTAGAACAATGGTTTCTTCTATGGGCTGCATTTGAATGCAGCAAATAAATAAGATCAAAACCATTGGTGGGTTAGGAGAAAAGTCCACAATCATTTGGACAAAACAACTTGAATTCAGAGAACGCTGAGGAAAGTCATTATTCTAACAAAGATGTTACTTTGCATTTCAGGCCCAGGGATCTGGGTTTCCAGTAATCACTTTTACTTACACCAAGTTCTTACCTGTGGGGAGGTAAATAAATCCCTTTGTTTTCCCTCACAGGTATCGCTGTTTAAAGTGTCTCAATTTTGACCTTTGCCAAGCCTGCTATTTCACTGGCCGTCTCTGCAAACCACACAAGAGATCACATCCTGTTATGGAACACTGTGTGCAGGTAGTCCTATTGTACTTGTTCATTTCCCTCTTGAGGTTCTTCATGTAGGCAAGTAGGCAGTAGATTCTTGAACTACATGTATTATAAAATTATGTGTGTATTAGCCATAACAGCCATGACATATTAGCATTATTAGTTTGGTAACAGGGGGACAGGAAAAGGACAAAAGCAGGCTTCTAACTTTAGAATGAGTGTTTTGTTTTGAAGTAACTGAATAGGCTATGAAATATCCCAGTGCAAGTCTTCTTCTTCAGGAATTTTATGGCAAGTTTTTTGTTAGCAGATAAACCTATAAAAGTCCCCTCAATGTCCCAATATTCCTTCATCCCAATCCCAATGCAGACTCATCCAGAAATTAATTAATCCTAAAGTTATACAAACTCCTGCATAAAATGTCTTTCTTTTTCTGTCTTTTCTGAATGTCTTCAGTTTTTCCACTTTATTGTAAACCTTTCTGATTCATTTGTTTCTCTAAGTTAGAGATACAGCACAAAGAGGCAGCATGTGCCCAAGTAAGACCACATACCTGGATTCTGTTACAACTTACGCTATCATCATATTAATGGCAAAGTGCAACACTGGGAATTTGTGTTTGGAAGACCAGATTCTGCTTTGAGCAGGAGATTCCAGATTGTGCGCACAGCAGCAGCAGCACACAGCAGCAGTTGGGGCTTTTTGTGGATCTGTATCACAGCATCTTTCTGTTCCAGTAAATGAGCTGGAAAGCACTTAAGAAAGTTTCCCTAGAAATCTGTATCTCCTGGTCTTCTTCCCAATTCTCTGCAGTTAATGTGAAAGATACCTGGGCAGCCAGTGGCTGCACTAAAACTAAAGACTGTTAGACTGCTCTTGTAGTCACCCATTGTCTGGGTTAGCATTATACTCTTGCCAGTTCATTGCTCTCTGCTTGAAAACAAAACCCTGTTGCTAATGTTGTGAGAAATTATATCTGGATGCTCAATATCTGCATTAAAAATAACAGTTCAGTCCTCCAAATATTCTTCCTCATATTCCATCTGTGAGAAAGTAGGAAAATCAAATATTAACTGACCTCCTCATGAAGAGATTTCAAAGTAGAGACATTAAAATTAGTGTGAATGGAGAGTGAATGGGAGTGTGTGTTTGTGGAAGCGCCAAAAGGAAGGGCAAGAGAGATAAAGCAAGACAGGAGATGTTACAACCTGGATTGCAGCCACATTGTTGCTGCAGAATTGCAATTTAATCACTGAACTTCGGTTTCCTTTATTAAGCCCTACTCTAACACAAACCCTGTACATATTACTTTATAGGCCAAATATTACAATGCAGGCCAAAATCTATACCAAAATTTAAAAGATAATCTATTCACTATGACAGATACCATTTTTGTATCTGTTTTGTTGGACTTCAAATAATCAGCAGTAAGTTGCTATCCCCATACCTTCCACTCTTAGCAGATGCTGTGCTTACCTGGGTAAATTTTTACACTCTTTATCAGAGATTGAGCTGCTGAGTGGGGGTTTGAAATATCACCAGAGTTTTTCCTTACCCTGCTGACACCTTGTGGTAATGTTACTACCACGTTAAGAAGCACTAGGAGGCATATGGTGTGTTTTCTTTGTTTTCCTGTTCAGTCTGTCAGGGCTCACCCCATGTTCTACAGCAGTCACCTGGGGCAGAACTGGTTTGAATCCTCCAATAGTACAGCTACTGGGCTTAATTGTTCTACGTGAGCCTGTCATTCCCGTGATAAATGAATGTGTATTTTACTGTATTCTGTGAGAGTGAGCCATGGAAGGCTATATCTACAAATGCTTTATACTTTTTTAAATACTTGTATAAAAGTATTTTGTCTTAGATACTAGTCAGCAGAATTATTGCTGAGACTGTGAGCTTAATCATTGTAACTACCAAAATCCTGTGTTAGGCATTTCCAGGTTGCCTTTGATCCAGGCAGTATTTTGCATAAAAGAATTGGAGCTGTTCTTGGCTGTGGTCTTGCAGCATTACCCACTTCAGCTCCCCTTCTAGGGCTCAGATAGTAGCCATGAGCCTCATCAGATGGTGAACAGGTGGCCCTTTGCTTTGGAATATGTCTGTTTCTGGGCAGCATCTGTTTGGAAAGTCACTTCCTTCTTTATTATCCCTCATTCCAATAGATGTCAGCAAAGGCCAATGCAAAGCACTTTCTCCGCACTATCAGGAACAACCTGTTTCAAGAGCGCTGCAGAAGGAAAGAGGCTCAGAGAAGGACAGCTCTGGAGTCAGTGGAGGAGAGGCACTTCCCTGCTCACAAAAAGACTTTGTGAGTTTTGGTTTCAGATGAATTTATAATTTCTGAATTATAATAATTATAATTTCAGGCTGTGGAATATTGCTTGATTATGTCCTTTGAGCAAGGGCTTTTTTTATGAGAGATACCATGTAATGATTTTTTTATTAAAAAGAGAAGTTGCTGCACGTTGTTCTGTAGCTTAACTATGGTTACCATGCTGACAACCTAATGATCAGTTGTCTTATAAAATATAACAGGCTTGTGTCTTGCTTCCCTCCTTCCTTATGTTGTCTCTTTCACTCTGCTCTGTTTCTTACATTCAGTCTAGCATCAAGCATTGCAAATGTTTGCTGCCTTTACAACTGCATGAGTTTTTAAGCACTTCCTCTGTGACAAATTCATTGGAAATTAACTGTGAATTCTTACCACACATGACCCACAGTGCATTCACTGGCAAGCATTCTACTCAAGTCCCACTAAATTGCAGGCCTGTGGAATTCCAATAGCAAGTAGATGATCTCACCATTCCTCTTATTTCAGACCAGTTGTTTCTTTTGCTTTGGTTAATATTTAAAGTCATTACTGTATTTCCACTGGTCATAGTGGCTAATAGTGAGCATTGGAGGTCATGTTCAGAATTTTCTCAGTAGTTTCTCCTTCCTTGCTATGAGATTCTGGTTGATACTTAAGTATAGAAACTGGAGGGAGATCAGCACTAGCAACATACAAAGGGTGAGATTCCTTCCTGTTTGTATAAAGATCTAGCAACTGTCTTGCATCTCACATGTGTTCTCCAAATGAGGCTTCAGTGAGGCTGAAATAGGGAAAAAATGGTCAGTCCTCTCTAAAATAATTAATTTCATCTTTATGTGAAGGAGGAGAAAAATCTGTTTATAAAACTGGATTGTTCTACTCTAGTAGGTTTTCAGTTAGAAAACAATATTTTATGTAAGACCAATGGATGATATTTACAGTGATCCTCGTGGAGAATATTGTTTCAATGTTTGTTTTTTAGAATGTGGTGAAATGCAAAACATCTTTTGTTGTTAATATTTCCTGTCTTGTATTCAGCAACAAAACAATATTTAATCATTTTGAATGTACTTTAATCTTTCTGGAAGCAATTGAGATTTCTCTTTAATTCTGTAGGGGTTTGTTTACCTACTGCTTGGGTAGCAATGAGACAAAGAATCTGGGGTTGCTGTTACAGGTGTCACTGTGGGGCTAATAAACATCTAGGCTTTTCCTAGCATATGATGGACTGAACAGCAGGATACTTCGCTATTTTTTGTAGCTGAATTTCCTAATATATTTAACTCTTGGCTAAAGGAAGCAAAAACAGAAGCAGCAAATTGGACTAAGAATAAAGTGGGTGGAAAGAAGAGCTTGTTGCTGAGATTCTGTTGGGAGAGTGGAATTTGTTTTCAGGAATTTCATTCTTTCAACCAGAATATACCAGCAGGCATAGCTAAACTTTATTTCTTGCTTAATCAATAGCACATCAGTCTGTCTATTTACACTGCATTAGTTTTCTGCATTTGGGTCATCCTGGGTAGCAAAAGCATGTGAGTCCTGATCCTTTCCCTACTCATTACTTCCCTGTTGGTGTACAGTCCTCCTGTGGAATTCAGTGCTTCATCACTGCCAGGTCCTGAAAATGTGTCTTTCCCAGTGAACAATTGTGTCCCAGAGTCAGCCAGGTTCATACCTGAGAACAGGACTGTAATGCAGAAGAGTGAGAATAACAACAAGACACCAGAGCAAGGCAAGACAATAGCTCAGGTGAGTAAAACATGAAGCCGTAACAGTACTAAAGCTGGGAAGAAGACCTAGCAAGTTAATTATCTTATTGCCTTCTAATTCCAGTGAAAATTTAATGGACAGCTTCACCTTTCTGTTAATTTTTTACTTATGGTGAAAAATGTGGCATCTGTAAACTTAGTGAGGTTTGAATTTGTTATCTTCCCAAGATTTCCCAAGATTAGTCACTAGCTCCTCAACTTCCACGACCTTCAGAAGCACTTGTAGGAATATTTACTTTGGGGTTTTTTGAACTGTCATAGAGTAGCACACTAAAGTCTAGATGAGTCTGGAGTCCTCTTGCTATTCTGACAGTAAAAAAGGCCATCAGGTCTTCCTACTGCAAGCAAATGTCAAAGAAGAATGTCTGAATTCCTATTAGACTCAGGCCACTTTTGTTACCATGGAAATAGCAAGACGACAGAATGGGCCCTCTTAGGATAAACCCAGAGCAGTGTCCACTCCAACTAAAATAGCTGATGCACAAAAGGTCTCCATTAAACCATTCCCAGCTTCCCTCCAAAGAAACAATGCTGAAAGAATGGGTAGGATAGAATAGCTAAAAATAAGCACATAACAAATTTTTGTTTCTATGTTTTCTGAGATGTTGGTTCAGAATACAGGGAACACTGGGTTGTGTTCTAACCAGATTGTGTCATCCACTCGTTCTTCCCAGGAGCCAAGGGGTGCAGTAGCACAGAGCTAGCCTCTGTGTGCCAGGTCATTCCTTTGGCTCCTACTCCTGTGCTGCCGTTTGGAAGACCTGTCTTTTAGAACTCTGCTTCCCAGCTCAAGGTATAGTGCCAGGCAGCAGATATCTGCAGGAGAAGTTTGGGGCAGACATTGCTTAAACATAAAATTTTGACAGTTGGCATTTGTCATTTTATAAAGCAGCAGGATAGGACTTGCATTCCTGTGCTGGGATTCTCTCAGGTGCATTGCTCTCTTGTTTATTTTCTCTCTGAGCTGAGAATTCCTTTTGAGCAGTTTTGTACTGATTTCTAAGATCTTATAGTGCAGATTATTTCCACTTTGAAAATATGTAGACAGTAAGTCCAATGATTGCTTTTAATAGAATCCATGAATATGGAAGTCCTGGGAGATCCAGCTCTTAGTCTCATAGTTTCCTGGCAGCCCTGATTCCTACACAACTTGCATCATGCCTCAAAGGTAGCTTAGCTGGAAAGTGTTTGTCTCCTTGACTTCTGGGCTACTGTTCTCTGTATGGTCCAGAGAATGCTACTTCCATCTAAAGAGCAGGTGTTTCTATTTTCTCTTCTACATACAGTCTCTTTCTCCATCTCCTTGTCTCAAAGCACTGGTGGGACTTGGGAGAGATTGTTCCCAAATCAGAATACTCCATTTTGCAGAAATTCTTGGGAGTATGGATTTTGTTCTAATTTCAAACAAATTCTCATTCACTTAAATTTGTCATAGAACAAAGAACTTGTTCTATAGAATAATTTTCCCAGCCATTAGAAATACCTCAATGCATTAGTTGATTGTAATACACTAAATTAAAAGGTTAACTAGTAAATCTGTTAAACAGACCAAATCCAAAATTTGCCATGCACTTCTAGAATAAAACTTGCATGCAAAAATTAAATGCTATTGCTGATAAAGTTATGAACAGATACTTCTTTTTTTTTTTTTAGGCAGTAGCCTCTTTTGAAGCAGATGTGTTAAAAATGCGTGAGTCCATTAAAAGCATTCACAGTGACAGCAGGTAGGTAAATGCAGTTGTACACTGCCTGAAGATTGGTGGGCAGTGCTGCTCCAGCTGGAGGGCTAGAAGACAGATGATTTTTTTCCATACTTTGGAGATTTTGAGATTAAAAAAACTCTTATCAAATGAGTATGAATAATGAAAACTCTGCAACAAAAATTTTAGATTAAGATGACTGGAAAAACAATGGCAAAGCAAAACATTTTGGTTTGCTTTCATCAGCATTTCTGCAATTGCTAATTTACTTTTTTTCTAAAAGTAATTTTTAGGCAAAAAGATGTTCCTCCACATAAAAATGCCAGAATATCATACTTTTTCAAAATTTTCTCTGAATGAATCAAAACAGATTTCATAATTTGCATGAAGCTTTTAAATCAAAGTAGAATTTCTTTCTAAAAATTATGCTCTACATCAAATAGAGATTAATAGGATGAATACAATAACTATTGGTATACCACAGCTTATATAGCTTATAAGTTTATAGCTTATAACAGAAGTTCCTTCTGATAGTCAAATCTTTAACATTGTAAAATAATAATTCCTAAATTAAAAATCTTGTTGGAGGCTTGTTTGCTTGGGTGACATGGCAGGGGGGGAAGTTGGTGTGTGAGCAAAAATGCTTGCCTTTTACTTGCATTTTTGCCTTCCCCTCCTTTGTTTTTTTAGTTGTATATAAAATGTACTCTCTGTAGAACCATGCCTATGACCACTGAAATTGATGGAATTACAGTAAAGTGTAGAATTTGATCCTGAATCTGCTCTCTTTATTTCCTTTGGTATGTTCAGTCCCCTCTGTTCTTGTTCCCTTTCATTCCAAGTACAATTGCTGTTCCAAGCTCACACAAGGGCATGCCAAGATTAGAGTTAAACAATTGCAATTTCACTGGAAGTCTGTTCTCACTTGGGAAAATAAAGAGATGTGGCAAAGATCTTCAGCTTTCTTTTAGATTAGCAATTGTTGAGAGGATATTTGGGACACCTGCTCCTATAATGTTGCTTTGACCCAGAGCTTATCACAGAACTGGGTGAATGAATCATATTACTCATGGGAAGCTCTTTATTCTTGTTTGTGGACCAACTTCCAGCATTCACCTGTCCACAGAACTGGGCTCTGAGTTAGTTTTAGGAGGACAGCATTTTATAGTGAAGAACCCTCAAATGTTGTTATAAGGGACCACTGTATTATTAATTATAATTTTAAATGGTCTGACTTGCTGCCCCATTTAGACAGATCTTGCATAATTCAAGTGAAACTGATGGAGCTGTTGTCTCTAAGCTAAAGCATAACCAAAAGAAAGTGAATCAGGTGAACTTCTGAATGTAACTAAGCAAGGCAGATAACTAATCCAGATCTGTGATATGAAGCAATTGTTTATTAATGTAGTGTCCAAAAACATTACTGTCTGCATCTCAGCTGTGAGGAAAGCAAAACTATTTCTACCCTGACTTCTTAGAGAAATCACAACTAGAACAGAATTATGAGTAGTGTTTCTGTCATACTGTGCTCTGAGTAGGTAATTTCTAAATCTCTGATGTGCATGGGACAGTGGCACTTCTAATCCTTTTTCAATGGCCTGTGCAGAAGCTATTGGCTTCATTTAAGAAACTGCAGAGAATACCACGAGCAAGACAAAACTCTATCAAAGGGGTAGAAGCTGCTTTTACTTTATTGTTGCCCAGGCAAGTAATGGGAATCTTTTGCAGGCCAGGAGTTGCTATAAGTAGTTTGCTTCTATACAGAGGGATTGCTATTGTCTCTCCTGTTACAGCCACCTTTGTGGGAAAGGTAAAACCCCAGGATGCAAGGTTCAATCCTGGCCACAGTTCTACTCAGCTCTCATATTTCCTCATCTGGAATATTAATGCTCTTGCTAATTCCATGGATACAGTCCGGCTTCTGAAATATTGGCCTCTAATCCCAAAGCTGACAAAAATTTCCTGAACAAGTAAAGGGGATAAAGTTAGTGCTGAAGTGTTTGCTCATTTCTGTGACTGCATATATTTGTGTATGTCTGGTCTAGCAAAAATCCCACCCTCCTGTATCTCTGGTAGGTATATGAAGAAGCAGTTCAAAAAATGGAAGGACAAAATGCAATTTCTTTGTAACTGCCAGGAAGAAAAAACCTGCAAAATAGAGACAAAACTCCAAAGACTGAGAGTAAGCCATGAAAACCTGCAAATGACACTGCAGCACATGAAAGAAGAAGTAAAGGTATAGTGATAATATATCAGGATAATATATATATATAGTGATAAATATATCAGGAATTGTCACAGTTATGAGCCATTACTGAACACTAATAACTGCTTTTCCTGTAGACCAGCACTCTTAATACCATTTTGTGTACCTTCCACTTGTATTTTCATTCATCTTAGGTTCTTCTCTTCAGGGAAAGCAGATAAGGTCTTTACAGTAGGGATTTCCTTGTCATTCTGTGTACATCTGGCATCTAGCACAGATATCCATGCTAGCACATTTAAATACTACTGCAATGAAAGTAATGAATATTCCAATAAGTGTTTCCAACAGAAGTGTTAGATACTTCATTGCAGTCTGTTCTTCAGAGAAGAGTCAAAGTGCTGGTATTGAAAAAATAAAATGTTGTTCCTAGTTGCTGTCTTTTACTGGGATGTAATACAATCATCTTATAGAAAATATTTTACTTGTTTTCAATTATATTGATTCTTATAATTACAATTATTTCTGAGATTCTTAAAAGGCCCTTATTTCAAATAAAATGCTTACATCTTTCCCCCCTACAACATATTTGTAGCATTTTCTGCAATGCTGTTTTAGTACTACTGACAAACTGAAATATCAATTATTTTACCAACATATTTTCTGTGTTTTGTCTATTGTAGACCATGTTGCAGTCATCAGAGCATCCTTTTGCACAGTGTCATAATACAATGCCAAGAAATCCACATGTTCTGCTGGAAGGGAGAATGCAGGGTGAATTAAATCCTGCCCAAATAAGGCCTGCTTCCAGAACATGTGCAGAATGGAAATGTTTGAATCCCCCAAACTCTGTAAATAGAATGCAACTTTTACAGACACCTGAGGTTCCCACTGCAGTGGAATTTATGTTCTCAGATGACCCACTGGAGTCAGTGTCCCTGCGGAGTGACAAACCCTTTATGGGACAGCATAACAAAGCAAAAGAAAAACAAACATATCTGCCTAAACTGACAGAAAACTCTCTTGGTGGAATGGGGAGTGCAGTTCTTATTCCCACTGCAACGCAGATACCACCTGATGAGAGGGAAGTCAGAGAGGAATTGGAACTGCTAATGATCAAACTGAAGGATACATTGTCTCTCCAAATCCAACCAGGTATAAGTTCTCCAGTCATCTTGACACTGTTTTCTTACCTTCATCCCGTTTACTCCATAATATTGTTCATAATTATGTAACCCTCAGAGGAAACTCAGAATCTTGCTTTAACCTTTGTAGTATTATTCTATATTGTAAGGTAAAGCATATTCCAAACATAGCCTCTAATGTTGGACTGATTTGGAACTTGATGAATCAAAACTCCTGAGACATAATCACCCTTGGCAGTCAATTAAGTCAATCACACCAAACTTAAACTGGTGAGGGCATGAGAGGTTTTTGCTCTTGCCACTTCTGTGACACTATAACTCTAGTCCTAGGAGACTTCCATCAGTACAAAACCCCTCTGTAAACAATGGTCTTACACAGCAGAGCTTTGTTCAACACTCAGGATGCCTCACTTTTGATAATGAGTATGTAATAAGGAATATGACAGAAAAAGCTGGTCTTAGAGATTTATAAAGAGTTTTCTAGTGCTCTAACAGCATCCAAAAGCTTGGAAAGACTTAAAATCTGTTTTACTTTTCAGCCCAGCAAAGTGCTTTGCACCAGGAGTTCTTCTCTACAGCTGAGCATGTTTGCAGGTCCTTTTCTGACCTCATCAACCAAGTAATTTCACCAGCTTGTAAATGATGGAAACTACCATTCACCTTACAACTTCAGTGAACTACTTATGGTAATTGATGCCATGTCTCTAAAAGATACTCTGTTTAAAGTGTCTCAGATGTTGCCTGTAATAACACAGCATGACAGATTTCTGCATTTACTGACTTTACCTGGAGCATTTTGGAGAGCTATGTATGTGGAATACATACAGTAGCTTTTCTGTTGGTGATCTCCAGCTCCTGTGCTGTGACTTCCTCAGCAGTGCAAACGATTGCCCATTTCTCTCTCTTTAGCTGTTGATATCCCATGGTCAAGTTACTTCCTTGGAATGTTGCTGTATTCATTGATGCCAGCAACAATGAGAACTTTTTTTTCCTTAAAGAATGACTTTAAAGACCTGAGAAATTGAAATTATTCAGTACCACTTCAGAGAGAAAAAAATATACAGTGAGTTATTTACTATCACTCTTTGGTGGGAAGTGTATAAAAATAGTAAAAAAGTAAGTTATTATGCTCAAAACCAGTTATGGTTTGAGAAAATTTTCATATTTTTAAGGATTTTAGTTATGTCACTGAAATGATACCAGCTTTCCAAGAAAGAAGACAAGAAAGAATTTTTTCTGTGATTACAAAGAAAATCAATTTCATTCAGGTGAGAACAAAATATTTTTGGAAGTTCTGGGAGAAAAGTTAGGTAAGTTTTATATTCTGAAGCTTTGTTTCATATATAATCAAACAATGTTTAGGTTGATATGATTTGAAAAGGCTAATGAAAAGCATAGGGCTTAAGAAAAGCTGCTTAGCACAGAACTCCACATTGATTTTCCATATAGATTTTCCTTGTGTTTTATTTTTCAGAATGAGTTATAATCATCAAGATAAAGGGACTGCCTGATTCATTAAAGAGGCTAGAAATCTTATTTTCTGTTGGTAGTACCTCAGCTATCTTCTTGAAAGACCTTACACTGTGGTAGTAAGATTAATGAACATTCCTCATTCTTTCTGCTAGTTTTGGTCAAAGGAGGCCTGAATGACACATCCTGCAGACACTCAAGAATTTTACAGCAAGAAATAATCATATGCTACTGGAAGCTAATAAATGATTTGTCTCTAGCAAACAAAGTGTAAAGAGGGTGAAAATTAAAGAAAAGAAACTTATTGAGGGAGGAGGGAGGACTCCAGAGAACAAATAGTGATGAGGTAATTAGAAAGTGGATATATCCATGTCATAACATAAACATACTGTGAGATAGAAGTTTAGTAGCTTTGGCAATATGCCAGTGCCAAGAGATGCACACAACAATCCAAGGAACCTAATTGTTGATCATCAGCTTCTGATGAGGCTTTAAATCTCCTTCTAGTGTGTTCCTCTGAATTTAACTTGGAAACTTTAAACTTCATCTGAATTAAACTTAGTTGGAAACAGTAGCAACAAATGTCTGAAGCAATGTTGAACAGACCTGGAGCACAAATTCTTACAAAGAGATATTCCTGGACTACCATGAATCCTTCTTTCATGTCAGTATGTAAATACTTAAAGAATTTTCCATGCTAAGAAGCAGTCGTTTAGCTCACAGATCCCTGTAAGATGAAAGGGACAAAATCACAAGGTCTTTATTTTGTTGTTATTCAGTTCAGCTGACAGTGAAGGAACTTCAGTCAGACATGTCCATGCCATCCTTCTTCTGACACACTGGCTGAGAAACAGTAAGCCAGGAACAGTATCTGCAAAAGCAATCCTAGCTCACTCAAAGATCTGCCATGAAGTTTATAAGGAACAGTGGTAGAAGGCAATATCCTGTCTTTAAACACAATGACATTTTAAAATGTTCCTGTATAGCAGATCTACTTTCATCTCATATGGAGACCCCTTGCTTTTTTTTAATATAGACACTTTTATCACTTTCATTCTGTCACTTGTGGGTTTAAATGTAGTTAGTTGCATCCCCTTTTTTATTTCAGAACAATTAATAACACAGATTGTCTCTTTACACCAGCAGTTTCCAAATGTTCTCCATAGTGTGATCTGTCCTAGAGATTCATCTGTTTTGTCAGTCTTGCCTCTATATCCTTTCCTGCCCTTTGCATCAGAGGCTGAATTTTGCTACAGCCTATTAATTAAGAAGCTTATTGAAGCAGAGAAGTATTGCAAAATTAATTTAAATGTTAAAAATTATTCAATTAAATATCATCTTGGCCCATAGTGCTATTTCTGTCTGAAGGAAGAAAGTTGCCATGAGCCGTTTCCTGAGGGATCCTTTTGTTGCAGGTAGGACCTATATAAAGTGGAAGCACTGGTATCTGCCCAAAGAGCCCTGTGGAAGGCATCTCAATAAACAGGACCTGTTCAGATAATCTGTCTGGTCTCACATTTTCTAGAGTTTGGGAGCATATGGGAACAGGTAACATCTGCTCTACTCCAGGGGCATCCAGCCCTTAACACTCTTTGTCAGGTGCTGGTTGTGGTAGCCTTAGGGACTGTGAGTGAAGATATATAATATCTAATATCGATACAAAGTTGCAACGAGGCTTTTAGATATATTGTAACAATGTAATTAATTAACAACTTCAGTAGAGGAGAGAGCAGATCTGTTGTAACAATGCGCCTGCTGCCCTCCCTCGTAGTAGCAAAGCATTCTCATACCCTGTGTCCGCAACTGGGGGTCTGTTGCTGGCCAATAAACAGTGTGTTCCTGTGTTTATCCTGCTTTAGTGTTCTCTCGTCTCTTGAACATTTAAATGGTTTGCTCTTAGAGTTTTTTATTTGCTTCCTTAAGTCAGGATTTCCCTATATGGGACTGTGATTAAGCCTTATTTTGTTCAGGCCTGTAACCATTTCAAGATTTCTTTACACGTTTTGTTACTTGAACCTATTTCTGCAAGTTGATGAACAACCCGGAAGACAGTTTTTCTCTGGGCATTTGGAAAAATATAGAAACCCCACCAAATATTGCTACATGCTCAAGGAAAGACACTTCCATTGAACAACTAAATGTAATAGTCTATTAAAGATGAAATTCATAGTTTCATCCCTCCAGTCTGGCAATGGAAATAATTTCTATCATAAAAGCAATCGTATGTTACCTGCTGTAAGTTGTTTTGCATTAGTTTAATATCAAATTGCCTATTAGGGTTATCAGTAAGAGTCAGAAGAGATTGATTTTTCTACAAAGAACTTGTAAACTAAAAAAGAAGCAAATGCAAATTATGTATGAGAATTTTTGTGATTAAACATTTTAAGTGTGAAAGCAGAGGAGCTGGTAAAACCCGGTAACCCTTTTACTGGAAAACTGAAAACTTTCTTGGAAGGTATTTTTCACGTAGAAGTATGTACTATTTTTCTTTAGTAGGATGATGTTTCTGAGCAGGGGTTGCTCTGTACAAGTGTAGAGCTCTGCATACAACCAAACATCACCATCTCTTCTGTAGTCCTGGCTTGGAGCCAGGGGAGGTTTTTGACAACTTCCTTCTCTGCTTGTCTATATTTTATTGAAGGATCAGTTATTTCCTGTTTCAGCACCAAAAAGACAATAGTTTGAACAGATCACATGTATTGCAAAAAGCCTGATATACACACAGATTGAAGTAGGCAACTGCTTATAAATCATGCAGTTTAGTAAGGAGACTAAATTAATAGGTAATTAAGAAAACCCATAAGTCCAAGTCAATCAGAGATGTAGTGCTTGAGGTTACATGCCTTCTTCCACCACACAAATTGACATCAATGGGGATTAAAATGCAAAACATAAAGAAAAATAGTTTAAAATTATCTGCAAATCAAAAGCTTAGACTAAATGTGTCATTTCCTCTTTTTTCCTAGCTCTCCAGTGGTTCTTCCAAGTAATATAGATCTACTCTTATGTATGTGGATACTTATTAAATCTTCAAATGAGTCTTTCTTCTTCAGAACTGGTGACCTCTGAATATGAGAAAATGTCCCTGAAAAGTGACATGAAAATGCATATAAGTAAATAGTTTCCAAACAGCAAAGAGCAGCTGAATACTCAGTTTCCCACATTAATGTTTTCTCTGCCTTTAGCTGCTGCTTATCAGCATTGCCCCCAAGCCTCTTTCTCTGGTAGCCATATCCCTCCATTTGCATGTCGCCTTTCAGTGTCAAGTCACTTTGATCTTTTCCCAGTATGGACCTTTTCTTTTAGTCTTCCTATAAAACTCTTCTACTTGTGATTAGCAGAATCAAAGTGCTTACGTCTGCTCAGAATCCTACTAACTCACTGGCATGTTATCAACCTCTCAGCGGGTGAGATCTCTCACACTGTCTAGAAGCACATTTATTATTTCCTTGAGGAACTATATGGCACTTTCTTTGCAATAATCTCTAGAAGGCAGCAGGTTGATTTTCTTTCTTTTAAACATATTTGTCTTGTGAAAAAGCAACTGATTAACACGATACTTGCTTATTTACCAGACCTCAATTTTAGAATAACCTTTGGCTCACTGCCCACCCTGGCATCCTGCAGAGCTGGGACAGCAAATTATGTCTCTCCTGGGCCAGGTGCAAGGGCTGGTCTTGAGCCAAACCACCTGCAGCTGTGAGGGAGGTGTGCACAGCTGAGGCCACTGAGTGGTAATGGGCAGTGGGACTTCTGGGCAAGGAGAAAAGAGGCAGAAGGTTTGTCTTTGTAGTCTTCAGATGTTTCTAGGGAGGATGTGCTATGTGGCTTCTTGAGGAGACTCTTACATAGCTGCTCTTCAGAAAGATTGCTGTGAGTACAAAAGCTATGTTTTCCTTGTGGGTCTAAAGTCTTATTTTGGTTAAGAGTTATTATAATGGTAATGTAACTACAGTGTTGTAATAGATTGGAAATGCATTTATGAAACCTGCTTTTTCATACTGTTTTGATTTTGTTAGGGGAAAGGGATGAGTTACTAAAGATAGCTTGGCCAGGTAACTGAAAAACTCTCTACTTAAAGCTGATTAATGCTTCTCTGCAGAATATCTAGGGAAGTTGAATTGCTGCTGGGTTAAGCAGGCTTTTAGGTAGACTGAGACAGTTTGTCAGATTATTCATATTCAGCTGTTGTGAGTTTGTAGTCTTTGTCACGGACTGTGTAGAGTTTGAGTATCTTCAGAATATGAATGCAGTCAAAAACTTGGAGGGACTTGACTGGTCCAAAAAACAGTGTTTGAATCTGTAAGTCTGGAACTGGGCTACTTCTCCCACTTCTTGATGCACACTTGGGGAGAATTGTTTCCCAGGAGGACCAAGTATGGGTAACTGTGTAAGTGCCTCTAAGATGTGACAAATTAGTTTTGTTTGGGGATTTTTTTGCTCTTCACAAGTAGGAGTTATCTGTTAGTTCTGAAATTAAATTCTAATAATAACACCTTAATATCAGTATTTCTGTGCCAAGTTCAGATTTCTGACTTGCTTTTTCCAATTCAGTGATATGTTTAAGGAACTACAGTGAATGCAGGTTGCAGATTACTCCTCATTCCTGATTTATGATCCTGTTTGCAAAATAAAACAAACCCCAAACAGATAGAAATTTTAACAATTTAAGAGGAATAAGATTAAAAACTCGAGTATGAAGCAACAAACTTATCAGCTGTTGCGAAAGTAACTGCATAAAACAAAAAAAATTTGCTCTGTGTTTGGATTTTTGGAACAAGCGTACTGAAAGCTGTTTACACCCGCCCATGTAGATGTGAAGTATGCAAGGTAATTTAAGTGCTGTTAGTGCTGCTTGTGGGGCTGAGAAAACATGTTTGTACCTCTCTTTATTCATAAAAAGTGGAAATTCTATTCCTCATCATTTGCTATATGATTCCTATCTGCAACTATTACCGATTGATTTCTGCTTTCACTGGTGAAATAAGGCAGTAGGATCACAGGTTACAAAGATTAAAATAACTGGCTTTGTTAAGAAACTGTGGGACTTGGATGAGAAGTTAGATAGTTCTTCCAAAAAAAAAAATAAATTAGGCTGTCACTGCTGTAAGATGCCAGCTACAGACTGTTGCTTATCAGTTGTACAGAGAAACCAGATTAACTGATTACAAATCACAAAAACAAAGAGGATGTGACTACTTAGTACTTAAAATCTCTTTGTATAAGAGTAAAGAGTAGTCAGAATTTATCATAAGACCCTTAATTTGATACTTCAGAATACATCTGACTCTTTAATCTTGAGTGGAACAAAAGCTCTTTGTTTAAGAAAATCACAGTGTGATATAGATATGTGGAGCCAGGTGTAAACAAAAGGCTGAGGGGGAGTTTAGACAGTAATATTCAAAGCTGGAATCCCAAACAAAAGTTAATCTGGTGCTTTAACCTGATGGGTTATCTCAATTTTAGACAATAGTACTGCCTTGTGTGTTTAAAGCTGCATTCTGTTTGCACCCAGAAGTGTGTCTGGTAAGGATTGAGCAACTTGTTGTCTGTGTGATGCCTAAGACCACTTGGAAACTAGAAATGGGTTCTGTGCTGCATGCCAACACAGTAAAGATCCCATTAGAACTCAAATTCTTTGCAGCGCAGGATAGGATCCTGTCCTTGCTTTTAAAATGCAGGTAGTGGTTGTTTGACTCATAGTTTAGGAATTTACCCTGTGTGTGAGAGAGTTGTTCAGTCTGAGGGGGTTGATTCAAACTCCTACCTCAAAGTTCAGGATATCGCCAGTAGGTAATAGGGTAAGGACCTCTCAGTCCTTCCTATCCTAGATTCTAGCTTTCAATACTCAAAAATGTTTTAGGTGGGCAAGAGTGGGATGGGCCAGTGATATATTGTCCTTGGGGTGCGAGAGTCCCGAGTTCAAGTCTGTTTTTTAGACACACTCTAATGGGTACTTGCTCAGAGGGGCTCTTCACTATTCTGTGAACATTCCCCCAATCAAAAATAAGACACTGCTCAAGGAAGTGGAGATAAGAGTCTCAATCCATTGCAGTGTAAAGGCAGTTCTGCCTTCTCGCTGTGGGCCCATGCTCTACACTGCTGGTGATGGCAACAGCACTTCTACCTCTCCATCAAATTATAGCACCTGAAAGTGGATATTCTCCAGGCAAGGATATATCTGTTAGTAGCAGAATCAGAACTGAAGCCTTGGGAGTGAGATTTAGGAAAAGCTACACTGTTATCCTCCTTTTGAGAATGAGGATGGTTATTGACATGTATATGAACCTGGAGACCAGGAATTGCAGCATTTAGTATCACAGGTAGTGGTGTTGTTCCTGGAGCTGTAGTTGTGTCTGAAAGCCTGCATGCATCTAAGTCCTAGGTCTGTTTCCATAGTATGTTGGGTAAAGTTACCAGTATGGAAATGGAAGCTAGCTAGTGGCTGACTGCTAGATGGCAAGTAGAAATACCCTTAGCCTTCTGCCAAAAGGCTGCCACTCTCCCCAAGAGTACAGTGCAATGCATTCCTCTCAGAATGTGGAGTTCAGAACTAGCCTGTTCATAGCAGAACTGTGGTAAAAATGCTGGTGTGGAAGAATATATTGGTATATATTGTTGGATATTAGGAAAAAGTTTTTTACAGAAAGGGTGATGAAGTATTGGAGTGGTTTGCCTGAGGAGATGGTGGAGTCACCATCTCTGGATGTGTCTAAAAAAAGACTGGACATGGCACTTGGTGCCATGGCCCAGTTGAGGTGCTAGGGCTGGGTTGGACTTGGTCTTGAAGGTCTCTTCCAATATAGTGATTCTGTGATTTAGCTGCTGAGCTGCCTTCTTTTTTTGAACCCTCCTGTATTACACTTTCTGCTGCATTTCCTGCCCTATCAATAAGAAACTTAAAAGCTGCTGTTAGAGTTCAGGTTGTTTGGATGTCAAATTTTACTGAGATCACATTGAACATAAGCACAGCTCTACTTCACAGGGAAGAGTAGGGTGTTTTTGCACAGCACTGTCCTCTGTTTCTGTATTATTACCACATAGCACAATAGACCTCAATCTCTTTTCTTTCCCGCTAGACTCTAATTATTGCCAATTAGATGCATATTAAAGGAGTAGTGACCTTGGTTTCTCCCTGTGAACTGAGAATGTATTGCAGCTGTCTTCTGCTCAGCTTCTGCCAGCTGCCTTCTCCCCAGGCCATGGGTTCTGGAGAGCACACAATCCACATAGATATCCCAGAAGAGCTGTGCTAGGTCCCAGAACAAAGCTCCATGTTTCAGGTTCTCTGAGGATTTCAGAAATATCATGAAGTCCCAAAAGCCACTGACAGAGTCAGAAATGCGAGGCTTCCTCATCTCTAGTAAAACAGCAGAGGAGGATTCCCAGCACTGGGGGTCTGCCCGCCCAAGAGCCAGTGGATCCATTTGACTGTGGCAGAGGAAAGGTGTCACACAGAACACTGCCATGAGTAGGAGAGAGCAGGTGAGTCTCATGGGGAAGTGAATTCTTCCTCTGCTTCCGAGATTCATTGTGTCACTGAAATATAAGAAAACCAAGAGAAGCTGGAAAAGTCTCACTCTTAGATGCAGGAGTAACATCCTGTTACTTTACATGATATACAAGGCACTCAGATATTGTTTCTCTGCTCCTTAAAGATTTGTGTATGCTTTTTGCATGTATATAAATACTAGAGGATTTGCAGTGCTCTGTGCAGCAGAAACATATAAAAATTTTTAATCATTCTCAGATCTGAATGATGAACTGTCTCATCTGGAAGTTCATAATATTGAAAGTTTTTTGCCATTTTTGCTTTACAGATCCCTAATCTTTTTCAATAAAAATCCATTCATTTTTACATAATTTAAGCTTTTAGGCATCTTGCTTGTCTCAAAATTTTGAGCCCTTTAAAATAGTCTTCAGAATCACAAGGATTAGTGGACAACAGTTGGAAAAATTTTGTTGAAAATGTGTTTTAATGGTTCTAATTATTGCAAGTTTCAGTTTCATCCATTGACTAGAAGTGGTTTAGGTGCTAAAAGGCAGAACAGTTCTGAAAAGAGGTTATAGCAAAGCCATCACATAGCAGCTGCATTGTACAATATGTACCCATGCATATAGAATGATAGACAAGTTCAGGTTGCAAGGGACCTTTAAAGGTCTCTAGTCCAACCCTTCTGCCATTAGCAGGGACATCTTCAACGACATCAGGCTTCCCAAAGTCCTGCCCAACATGACCTTGACTGTTTTCAGGGATAGGACATCTTCCACCTATCTGAACAGCCTGTTCTAGTGTCTTACCACCCTCACTGTAAGAGATTTTCTTCTTTAATCTAAATTGATCCTCCTTCAGTTTGAAACCATCACCCTTCGTCCTCTTGCAACAGGCCCTGCAAAAAGCCTGTCCCCATCTTTCTTATAGGCCCTCTTTAACTACTGGAAGGCTGCAACAAGGTCTCCCTGGAGCCTGTTCTCTTCCAGGTAGAACAGCCCCAACTTTCTCAACCTATCTTGTCAGGAGAGCTGCTTCACCTCCTCGTCATTTTCTTGGCCCTTCTCTGGACTTGTTCTAACAGGTCCATGTGTTTCCTGTGCTGAGATGTATTTACATATATAAAAAAAGTGCAGATGTATATTGCTGATCACTAAGAATTGACTGTTAAAACTGTAACATTTACTAAGTAGTGTCTGTAATGGATGGGTAGAATTTCTGACAATGATAATCTTTTGTGGACAGAAAGGCCCAGTTGTCTCTATCAGATTTCATTTCTAGTACGTAATTCTGTTGCATTTTCTAACATGCTTCTAGCATTTTTAATACTGAATGAGTTTGGGGTTTTTTTTAGTGTAGCTCATGACATATGGAAAACTTCCCATTTGTGGAGATCAGCATTTAGAACAAAATTCTGTTTAATGTATGTGCTGATCTGCTGAGTATTCATGCTTCTACACTTTCAGTTTGGTTGATGGGGGTGGGGAAGCTACTTCTTAATGAGCTAGATAAGCAACTGGTTTTTTGTGCAGAAAGTCTCTTCCATGACTGATCCTGAAGAAGCGTTCCTTCACTGTGTGAAGAAAAATGCCAAGAACCGGATATTGATGTGCAGAGGGACTGTACATGAAAAGTAGTCCAGCCACAGCCTGTGTGTGAGACTAGGGAAGAGCAGTCTGCTTTGTGGAATATATTTCATTGTAGAGCTAAAGGGTTCTTCAGAGATTTCAGTCTTGGCAATGTTGTTCTTACCTAGGCCCTGTCTGGCTACCTGGTCAGGTTCTGTGAACATTTTTGAGGTATTCAGACTTTAATCCCCAGCTGCTTACAGTCACTTTTTAATCTGAGTTTGGGTGTTGTGAGAAGGACTGGCTTGACAGCCCTGGACCTGAACATCGCATTTGAGGAACAAAAGAGGGACAGCTTGCTCTTCCCACACTGCTCTGCCTAGTGGATGTCACTTATGACAGTGGCAGTAGTAATATGTCCTCCTGCTGCTCCCAAGATTCCCAAGAAACCTCATTCCTCTGTACCGTACTCCACAAGGCAGGCTTTGATTTCTTTCTCAGAACCAAGCCAAAAACATCCTGTGAGTCACTACTTGATTCTTGTTTGTGCATCAGAGCCCTTCCACTGGGCACAGACACCTATGTATACATGCTATGCAGTATGCACATATATCTGTTTACTGAGATGTTTTCAAGTTAACTTTATCAAGTTTCTGGTTTTCAAAGCAATTTAGCAGTCTCAGATATGACCACGAGGGTGAGAAGACAGACATAGGACAGTGGGTGGGGAGCCCCAACAGTAACGTTGTTCAAACAAAGGAATAATACTAAAAGAGGCTAATAATACTAAATAATACTAAAATCCTTCAAGTGATGGTTCTGTGACTGACAGAGCCCATCTAATTTGTACAGGTTAAAAACTGAACTGGTTGCTTTGCATTTTCTGCTTCCCAGCACCTATTCTAAACTTTATAAGTTTTAAAACTGGCTAAAGACAAGGGTTCTGGATTTGTCGAAACAAAGGGACAGCCCTGGGCAGGGAGCTGGTAGAGCATTTATATGAGAAATGGTGCCCTTGAAAGTATGATGTGCATGGCATTAGTAAGGGCCAGGAGCAAAGGCCACTAGTCCTTACGGTCTGGTCAAACTCAGGCAGCACTGTGATGTTAGTCTTCCACAAGGTTCAAGACTGTATGTTTAGATAGTTGAGAGCTGGAGGACATGCCCAGGAAATGACAGACTTCATTCTCCTCTTACCTGTGCATGTGGTGAATGCTTCCATGCAATTCCTCCCCTACACCCTCCAGTCTTTAGGTATTTCTGTCCATACACCGAAGTTTGTGCGTGTGTGAGTGCTATTTATGTTTCCTTGTTCTGACTTTTCCCACCCTCTCCCCATCCCTGCTTCTCCTCGCAGTTTAGTCTCCTGCTCCACTCCCCGTCATGGATAATGCCTTACAACAATAATTTAAAAGTTAATCAGGTAATTTGTTATTATCATGTAACTTGGAGCTCTCACGGATAGTCCGTCGGCCGTGCGGCTGGGGCAGCCGGTACCGGCTCCGGAGCAGCATCCCCGGGCAGTCCCGCACGGCTNTCCCACCCCCCGCTCCGCTCCCGTCCCGCTCCGCCCGCGGCTCTCGGCGCTTACCTCGGCGCTCCGGCCAGGGCAGGACTCTCCGAGCCCGCTGCCGCCGCCGCGCTCCTTAAGAAGCCGGAGCGGGCAGCCCCGCTTAGTTTTTACGTCAGGGCTCGGGAGCAGCCCCCACCCCCTGGGCCCGGCCGCTGCTCCCCGGCACCCGGAGCTTCCCTCTTTGCGAAGCCGTCCTTGCTGCAAGTGTGCTCCGCTTCTCCACCCCGTCTGTCCTCCTCTGCTTGAGGACCCCGGCTCTCCCGGGGCAGCCTGGTGGCCGTGCTGCCTCTCGCCGAGGGGAAGGGGCGCTCAGCGGAGTGGAAGAGTAACAGAGCTGGAAAAGCTGCGGTCCTCCCCCTGCCCCCTCTCTTATCAGCACTGCACCGGGGGTGGAGGCAGGAGGGGAAGAGTAGAAAGCAAGCCTACCCTTGGAACTCATGTTGTCCAGAGCTCCAGGTCCAGGTCTGTCCAGGTTCAGACCTCAGGCATCTTGCTTTTTGTGCTTGGCTGTTGCAGATCCCTCCACGCCAGAGCAGGAGTCTGTGTGGCACGACTAGAGCTATTTGCTGGCTAGTGCTCAGCCCACATGCTGCAGGTCAGGCTCTCCTGGAAGCTGAAGCAGAGACCCAGAGAAGAACCACAGATGGGCTCCACTTAAAGGCATTAATTGAAGTAGTTAGGCTGAGCTGCTCACTGCAGCTCAATTTATACAACTTTACCTAAAGAGCTGTCTCGGAGGGCTGTACATTCTCCAAGGGAGGGTTTGGTCTGGTTATGTTTTTCCTCCCAAGAACAATGAAGTGGTCTACTGTTGCTGCATTTCTTTTCTGTGAGGTTCTCAGCTGGATTGTGACTTCTGTGTAGCAGCTGACAAACCTCTATGTATTGGAGAAATGACTTAAGCTAGTAGGAAAGTGAAAGGAAAGCACTGATGAAAAGGCTGTCTCCTGTTACATGCAGCACGGAGAGAAAAGCCTGAGCACAACTTTGTAATTGGCAGCTCTGCCTGTGCTCACTGTGCCTGCTGTGATCCCCTTGGGTACAGAAAACATACTACTAAAAGTGCTGGGGCTCTGTGACCATGCTGATAAGCATTCTGTTGGGCAGAAATTGCTTAACACCAACTATTTGAAGCAGTAGGTAGGTGACACCATTCTTTTTTCCTCACTCTTGTAGTTTATAGGCCAAATCATGTAGCACCTTGATGCCTGTCTGAAGCCAGTGCAGCTGTACAAGTCCATACCAGCTGGGCAGCAAACTACTTGTTTTTCCAAGGCTTTCACTGGCAGCTCCCTTTTATATCTTCTAGTGAAATCATAATCCCTTCTCCAGAAAGCAATTGTGCTTCAATAGCATAGGGCTTATCTTAGTTGAAGTCAGTGGGGCCACACTGGTTCTCATCAGCTGGAAAGTTGGCTTGAGATACTGGTTTCTCTGATGTTCATCAATACCTTTATAGTTTGCATTCTTTCTGTGCATCCAGTCCATGTAAATGGAGAAAAAACTTCCTTTCCAAACCCTTGACTTGCAATGTGCCTATGACAATAAGCACTGCTTTTCTTCTGATGCTTTATCTCCTCAATAAGCAATCCCTGTGGAAGTGTATTTTTTGTAGGCTACCGCTTAACAAAAGCACAAGGAACTTTCTGGGGATGAGAGAACACTGACAAGAACCCTTGCAAATAGCTATACTGTAGGAGTTTGGTGAACTTGCAAATGTTCCATTTATTTGGCTAGAAGTATGAGTTTAGGAATGGCAGGAATAGTAGTCACTGACTGCTGAAACAGACTTCAGGATGAACAAGAGTGTAATACATTGCAAGGGGCCCCTTGCAATGTGGTGGGGGAAACCTCTCCTATGTAGCATCTCCAATATTTCTTCTCTGTGCTATTGAGTACAGGCTATTCCAGTAGACTTCCCTCTCCTGGGCTGAAATGATCCTTAGGGATCAGCTTTTGGTTTTATTTGTTTCTTTTTAAAGTCTGCTCTGTACCCGATTCTGGACCCATGTGCAAGCTGCAGCCCCCTTGGCAAGTGAGTAGCCAGTGTGCTTCTCCTTGCCTCTGCATTTGGGGGTTGAACCAGGCAAAGGAGAGAAGGAAAGTGTGCAGGTAAGACTTGGGTGTTGTGATGGAACCTGGAGGCTCCTGGAGGCTGGCCTGGCTGCAGGGGCCAG